CCCCTCCCTCCCCCCCCTCTTTCCCCCCCTACCCCCCCCTGCCTCTCCCATGCCTTTTGTTCTCTCTCTTTCTCCCTCATTAGCTTTCTCTTTAACTCTCTCTCTCCCTCTCCCACCCTCCCTCCTCTCTTTCTCTTTTTTTATCTTCTTATTTTTGCTCTCTCTTTCCCTCTCTCTTTCCTTTTCTCACTCGTTCCTTTTCTCACTCGCTTTCTCTTTCATTTCCTATCACTTCTCTCTAACATTATCCTTTGCTTTCTCTCTCTCTATATTCAACTTTATCTTGATCTTTCTCATTTCTTTCTCCTCTTCTATCCTTTTCCTCCACTCTCTCCTGTCCTCTCTTTCACTCTCTTCACTCTTGGCTCGTCCCACTCACTTTGACTCTCCCTCTCTACTGTTCTCTCTAACGTATTCTTGCTCTCACACTCTATACCTCTCCCTCCCTTCATCTCTCTATCTATTTCATTCTTACTCATGCATGCTCTCTCTATTCTCATGCTTCCTCTTTTCTCTCTCATCTCTCTCTCGTCTTCTATCCCTCCCGCTCTTCTACTCTCTCTCGCCCTCTCTTTCTCTTTTGGTCTATCTCCCTCACTCTGACTCTCTCCCTCTCTACAATTCTCTCTTGGTATTTCATTCTCTCATGCATGCTCTTTCTCTATTCTCATGCTTCATCTTTTCTTTCTCTCTCCCACTCTCTCTATCTAACTTTTGCCCACCTCCCCCATCTTCCCTACTTCTCTCCTCCCTCTTTTCTTCTCACTCTTTATTACTCTCTCCCTCTTTCTCACACAATCTTTCCTCTCTCTTCACCCTTTTCGCCTTCTTTATCAAGCTTCTCTCTCTCTCCTCTCTCTGATTTTATCATTCTTTCCCTCCCTTAATACCTCTCTCTCTTCTATCTCCTCCCTTTGTCTCTTCTCTCTTTTTTCTCCCTCTCACTTTCCTTCCCACTCTATTACACTCTCGCTCCCAAACTCACTCTTTCTTACTCTCTCCCTCTCCCATCCACTCTCTCTTCCCCCTTATCCCTCTACCTCTCCCATGCACTCTCTCTTCCCCCCTATCCCCTCCTACCCTCCTC